GAAGAATCAAATCCTAACAAATTACATTAAAAACACGCTGAGATTCACAGTAACTGCTTAAGCAATTTGAATTGCAAACTCGCATGATACAGCGAATAAATGAATATGTCGCGATGTTATTCATACATTCCTTCAGATCGCTAAATTCGAAATGTTCGGATGACGGAATATTTGATTCATGCAAATGGTGGATTACCCTTTGCTCTTAATGAGACGAGTTTTAAAATATTGTGTCGTGTGAGAGCTATTTTTCTAAAACCTGTTTAGATTTTGCTTGTTTTTTAGCGAATTTCCCTACAGGGAAGTAGCTATTACCGTAGGTCACATGGTAAGACCTAGGCCCGGGAATTATTTACTTTTTCATTTTGATGTCACCAGAGGCCAAAAACACTATTCGCTCAAATTTTTATGTATATAAATGTGTCCGTGAAGACGATAACTTGAGTAATTTTTGTCCGATATTGATAAAATTTGGATTGAAGGTGTAAGGCGGGATAAACGTTGTATTTTATAGAGATATATGGATAAACTTGAATGAGTTCGCGAAGCAGCTTGATCGGACCATGGGAACGGGGGGTTTTATGGGGTAAAAATTGTGTTTTCTCATTTTTACCCTTAAAACTCAAAATCTCCCAATTTTCTCCAGAATTTTTAAAGAGTAAAAAAAAAGATTTAGTATATCAAAGTGTTTTTGTATGGTTATTGGTTACGGAGAAAAATTAAAAAATGTTCATTTAAAATGTCCATGTTAATGGAGAATATTGTAAAATGTAGTTTGATTGTTTATGGATGTATTTTGATCAAACTTGGCAAATTTATTTATTTTATAATAAGCAACTATTTTAATAAAAACCCCACTTAAGTTTCCCTGTAGCAGCAAACCTAAGTACTCGTTAAACATAAATGTTAATTTAATAGATTAATTGAAAATCAATCCAGGCAAATGGAAATTCACTTAGTAGGCAGGTTTGCTGCAGCGGGGGTATTTTTATTAGTTATTTGCTGCACTTTTTTGACGATTTTTACCACGCGTTGCTGTATCTCGCATTGGTCATATTTTAAAATTACTATTCATAATCAATGTATCGATGCTTTACTCGCACTTCGCAACAGGGCGAAGAAACAGAATAGCAATTTCCTCTTCATATCAACAGTTGGAATATAGTTACACACAATGATAGTAAACAACGCTCATTTCAACCCCTTTTAAGGACATTGATGTAACTGTGCGTTCGTTGCATTTTGTGATTTACATTGGTCATAGGTGTGAAATTAGCCTTCAGTCGTTTTGTTGGTACCCGAAACATACACATTCACATATTGTCTGATGTAACCTTTGAGGTAAAAATCAATAACCGACTATGATCATCACGGTTATCATGATTCTCTGACATACAGACACACATACACTCGTATTTTGAAATACTATATGTAGGATTCATTTATCATTTAGTAAAAGATAAAGAAAGCACATACGATGAAAAGGTAGACAAGAATTGGATATGAGGGAAAGACGGTCAAAGGGGGAAAGGGGAATGAGGGGAAGTGTTGGGGGAAACTAGAGCAATTATCCCCACAAGTGGGACCTTTGAAGTCGCTAAGTTGGCAGCGCTACCTCCCGTCCTCAGCTGAATAAATGAAACCAGCCTGACCTTAAATTAACTTCTGGTCTGGCAAATTTATTTCTTCCCCTGCTTTTAGATGCAATTTCTTGTGTTCTAGTTTAATAAATTTCTGAATTTAATTCAAAGAGTACGTTTGTTCTTTAATGATTATGGTTATAAACAAGAGGCGGTTTCTATTTTTAGTACCACTTCTGGTTGTGACTTTTTCAGCTTCAGATTTGTTTCATCAATGCTGAGTAAACAAAGGTACACTTAATTTAGGTTATTTTATGACAGGAGAGTATTTTTATCGATAACCGAGTACTCGACCCCTGTTTATCACAAAAAACTATACATATTAAAAACCTTTCAATGAAATAAATAATTAACAAATGCCCGTTTGTATTTAGTCTACCAAATTAAATCAAACTCTCCCATACAAAAACGTATTTCCATCCTAGTATATTTCAGTTGCTAACTTTGTCGGTTTACAAACCAAACAAATCCAATGTAGATTCCCTAGTAATTTTTAAATAATATTAATTCCTTAATTTCCATTTAGTGAGTTGTTGCTAAACAGTTTGTTTAAAATTACCAAACTGGAAATAGATATAAGATTTTCAAAAGGTCGATGATTAATCAAAATAGATAATACCAAAATGCTCACCACACAACTTGTTAAATAAATATTTTCGCGAATAATTTTGTTACTCTGTTTAAAAGTGTAGCCTAATTGGCAATTAATTGTTGAGCTATTATTAATATCCAGTAGACCGCTTAGAACCATTAGAGGCGATGTATCATATAAAGTACGGAAATGTAGAGCGTTAACAGTGATGAATGCGGGTTAGATAAACTGAACTGATGAATTTACATGATCTTCTGTAACTGAGTCTCCTCCCACTATGTACAAAGGCGGTTACATTAGTGGTAAACTACAGTTGAACAAATTTAGAATACTGTATTATGTATTTATGCCATTGAACGCCATTAATACTAAAAACTTACTTGGTTTGCAAAGTATTATATTCCATAGAAAGAAGAGTACATGAATAATTGAGCAAATGTTAATTTAAATAGCTAAGTTGACACTATTCAGATGTACTAACATGTAGCCTACTTGTCCTGCTTGTCCTGTACGAATAAAGATATTTTGATTTGATTTGATTTCGTTGTCATTTTGTAATAGTGAACACGATATAAGGGAAAAACTCAAACCACCAAATTACTTTTGGATAAGTTTAGGATCGAATCCACATTCGCGCATTGAAATCAATGGTTAAAATAACTAGAAATACCCCTGCCACAGCAAACTTGCAGACTAAGCGAATGTCCATTTACCTGGCTGGATTTCTACTAAAATATTCCCTGAAAATTGTAAGATTTATTTCCTATTTAAATGAGTACCTAGGTTTGGTGCTACAGGGAAGGTATTGAGGTGTGTTTTTGACTTATTCTTCATAAGAATAGCATGGGAATTTTAATTTTAAAGTTTTTTTTTATTTTCTCCGTAACCGATAGGCATACAACAATGCTTCAAAATACAAAATTATGTATTTTTTAAAGCTCTACAAAATGGTCTGGAAAGATATTGTAAAATTATGATTCTACCCGCCAAAAAAGTAAATACTACAAGATTTTTTTGGTAACATTGTTTACAATGTGTATAAACAAACAAACTGTTTACAGGTGTAAATTTAACGATAGCATGACATACAAAGTATTGCATTTATCACTCAAAGTGTAGTGTACGTAATTTGTATCTATTCAATCTGATTGGAAAATTGTTCATTTATGAGGGAAATGTTAAAAAAGTATTGGACATAAAAGAAAAAAGCTATTTTTAACCCCCCGCCTCTCCCCCTTCCCATCTTTGTAAGAAATTAACAAACGATAAATTAACAATCCGTGTTTCCCGTTATTTGTGTAGGACTAAACTCCATTGTTTTACCTTAAAAATGTATCTTTGTTTTGTATATTTATGTCCAAAGATGATAGGCGCTTCTAGAGAACACCTACTGAGTTTAAGATAATCGTAACTGGTATTTTCCTCATTATTTGTTTAAATCGTGTTTACATATGAAAGGGTACAAGTAAGTGCACCAAATTATAATTTTCTATCATTTGAAGATGTAATTTCTCTGTCCTAAAATCTGAATGTTTATGATTTAAACATTGTATTGCTGCAGTTTCAAACAATTCAAACAATAAAATACTAATTTTCCAAACTTGACTCATCAACTCACTGAAATTATCTTTACATTAATATGCAGTTATCAGACTTGTAGAGTCTTTCAGGATAAGAAAGTTTCCGGATAAACCAAGAGGGTGAAACTCATTGAATTTCCAATCCTGAGAGGCCAGATAAGAGAGATGTGTGGTTTGGTGCTTTCCACTTACTTAACTAATAAACTAAGAGGTTGGTTTATCTTTTACACGAGGACTTTCAACTAATAAAACGTGAAATTCGTGTTTAAAGTGATCACTGAATTTGATGTACACATTTTGGTGGATAGAATTGTGATTTCGGTTTTTACCTAGTTTCTCGATGAGAAAACATAGTGTTTGACCGGAAAAATACACTAATACAGTATTAGTATTATATAAATGCGTTGTACTCGAACACAGACGGAACTGTTTCATTCAAGTGGGATTTGTTGCAGTATATTCCGGTGAATAGAAATTTTACTAAAAAGCACAAACGGCATAATATCAACTACACAATCAACTGATATCAACACATATTGTATAAACAAATTGAATTCAATGGACATTTGTTAACATTGCCCACATCGGATTTAACCACTTTATGTGGTCTACTCAAATTTCAGTATTGGAATTGTAGCACAAAAACTATAATTGGTAAAGACAACATTGATAAATTATACTAAATTTGTTTAAGATTAACTGAAGATTTGGCATGTAAAAATAATGTTACATATATGAAAGATAAAAGTTATTGTTCTTCTAGCAACTCTTGGTTGCTTTTTGACCTCTTTGATAAGATTCAGAAGAAATGGATTCTATAGGTAGGCCTGCGGCTGTCTGCGTGTATGTTGATAGGCAAACACCACTGAACTGAGTGGGAAAATGAAATATAAATGTCATGAACCCAACGACGCAAAGTTTTATGTCCGCAAAAGTTGTAAAACTTAAAATGTTTTCCTTAATCATTGTGCGTGTGTGGCTGTTTCCTTCGGTGAATTTCGATAACCAAATTATTCTCTTTCGTGTCCTTGAACCTAGAGAAGGAAACAGTCATAAATATATTTATATCATCTTGATATTAAAGTTAGGATTTTGCAACAAATAGTTTTTAGTCTAGTGCTAAAACACGAGGCATCAACAACACTCTCTACTCACTACGGTCTACAGAAGTAATTGAACAGTGCTTACAGTTTTTTCAGAACGTCCCCTCACCACACCGTCATGACTCGGTATACGCGGTACATACCTGCAAACAACATACAGCTGTTAAACATACAATATCAACACAAACAACATCATGACTCGGTATACACGGTACATACCTGCAAACATACTTTGTACATACTGTACATACTTTGTAGGTTTAACACTACAATATCAACAAACCACACATGACTCGGTATACGTGGTACATACCTGCAAACAACATACAGTTGTTAAACATACAATATCAACAACACAAACAACACAAACATGACTCAATACGCGGTACATACCTGTGAACAACAACAAACAGTTGTTAAACATGCAATATCAACAACACAAACTACACCGTCATGAATCTGTATACGCGGTACATACCTGTGAACAACATACAGTTGTTAAACATACAATATCAACAACACAAACAACACCGTCATGACTTGGTATACGCGGTACATACCTGCAAACAACATACAGCTGTTAAACATACAATATCAACAACACAAACAACACCGTCATGACTCGGTATACGCGGTACATACCTGCAAACAACATACAGCTGTTAAACATACAATATCAACAACAGAAACAACACCATCATGACTCGGTATACGTGGAACATACCTGCAAACAACAACATACAGCTGTTAAACATACAATATCAACAACACAAACTACACCGTCATGACTCTGTATACGTGGGACATACCTGTGAACAACAACATACAATATCAACAACACAAAAAACCCCGTCATGACTCGGTATACACGTTACATACCTGTGAACAACAACATACAGCTGTTATACATATAATATCAACAACACACCGTCACGACTCAGTATACGCGGTACATACCTGCAAACAACATACAGTTGTTAAACATACAATATCAACAACACAAACAACACCGTTATGACTCGGTATACGCGGTACATACCAGCAAACAACATACAGCTGTTAAACATACAATATCAACAACACAAACAACACCGTCATGACTCGGTATACGTGGTACATACCTGTAAACAACATACAGCTGTTAAACATACAATATCAACAACACAAACAACACCGTTATGACTCGGTATACGCCGTACATACCTGCAAACAACATACAGTGTTAAACATGCAATATCAACAACACAAACAACACCTTCATGACTCGGTATACGCGGTACATACCTGCAAACAACATACAATTGTTAAACATACAATATCAACAACACCGTCAAGACACTGTGAACAACAACGTTCAACGGTTAACCAAGAAACAAACTGCGTTCAAGGATATAAACATAGGCCTTTCATGGGGAGAGATTCAATGATTAAAATTTGCGACACGGACTTCAGTCTCGCTCAACGTCAAAATCCGCTTTCTTAAAGAAACCCCCTTTAAACTGGTTGTTATAGGTTATGAAATAGGTAAATGATTACAGTGACGCTGAGGTCGCCAGGCAACAGACTACATCTGGTCTCGGCGTTGCTAAGATACGGGAACAATCAATAGCATCTTTGAGGCCAAGATTCTTTCATTAAGTGATTCTAATATCACTTCCGCGCTGAGTTGGCGAAGAAATCACCTGGGTAAAGTTTTTAAATATCACTCGTTTGCTTGGAATGTTCTGTTGAAATTTTCTTTACAAATACAATTGTGCTCAGTCTGTTTAGTGTTTTAAGATTACTTACTTAAACATTTTAAGTTGGCCGTTCGTAAGTTAAGAACCCCCCCCCCCCCCCCCGCTGCAGCAAACCTGCAGACTAGCGAATTTCCATTTAACTGATTGGATTTTCTCCTATTCCCAAAAACCTGTTTGCATCACCATACACAGTCTTTAAAAACAATTTATGTACCTAGCTGGCAGTGATATTTTTTATTATAAATTGAACCAATTAATAACTTTACACTTATTGCAAAGTGTTATTTAAGGTGAGTTTGTGACTTCACAAGTTTTTCTCAACACGATGTTTTCTAAATAAAACTCTAAAGTTCCACAGGTTGCTTTACAGTTCCTACAGCCGATGTTTGCCACATTTAACAGCTTTCCACACAACAATTCTCTCTCTTGAGGGTTGTAAAATGACAAACACAGACTCATCCCACGTCTCTGCTCCCTGATATACATCTAGACCTATCTCTTGAGTCCTTTGTTCAAAATAACCTTTTATGACGGTTCATCAACGTTGGCGATTGAATTAATTTTAGAATTCTTAATCGTGTTGTAAAAAAAATTGCAAAGTTTCAGAGTATAAGCTCTGACGATGGAGTATTCCGACTGAATATTAGGTCGGTATACGTAAAATAGATAGTAAGGGAAAGACTTAGTTTTAGATTTTACATTTTTGTTCAAACATTTTTTAGCTTTTCATCCACTAATATCTTTTTGTGACTTAACTTTCAAATCATTTTCCAAAATGTAGTAAGTAAAATAATTGAAATATTTGCTTTGAAAATCAATTTACTATAGTTTGTATCCTTACTTAAGTTACCTTCAGTATCTGAAAGTCAATGGTAAAACCAGCGATAACATAACTAATAGTTGGTCGTGTTTGGATAAAACATAATATTAGGTTATTTCCGGCAAAATAAGGTTGTCTCGAAAAGGGTAATACCAATATAATTTTATCTACACAAGAATGTCAGCGATGAAATGTAATAATAAGGGATGATTTAACAATATCCTAAGCCTCTAAAGAGTACTTTTGGAACACCCTGAGTATTACTTTAAGTGTTACCAAATTGCTGTTTAATGTTTATGCAAATAATGTTCCACCTAAAGAATCTCATCTAGGATAACACTGTCCTGGTTTTGCAAAAAAATCAAGGGAAAAGTTAGCTTCCTATCTAACACTCGACGAATTTTAAAACCTGGAAGAAAAATTAAAATGCAAAACATAAGTTGTGTGCTTATAATTGAGTAACATACAGTTAAAACTAATCCCATTCAATGGTGTACGGACATAGTTTAACCCACAATATTAGGGTTAGACTAGATAAAGATCTAACTTGTAAAAAACTGCAGCTTAAGTACTAAAGCTAAGTACTAAAGTACCAGGACGAATATTTTAAATCCTTTTGGTGTTCGAGTTTTGGGCAGTAGTATTGGTTTTTGGTTTTACTCCGCTGCTAACTATTGTGCTCTTAGGAGGTTAAATTGGTGGTGTAATTGACGCCAAGACAGCAACGAGCGAAACTCTACTCCTATCTGGCTTCCAGTGCCCATTTTGTGCAATTCGATTCAATTATTCAACTCGCGTATTTTAGGCTGTATTTGAATGCAAGCTATGTGAGATGATCTGTGTTGCTTTGTACCTTTGTACTGACCACGATTAGCTGTTTGTACCTTTGTACTGACCATGATCAGCTGTGTGTTGCTGTTTGTGCCTTTGTACTAACCATGATCAGCTGTGTGTTGCTGTTTGTACCTTTGTACTGACCATGATCAGCTGTTTATTTTCCCAGAACCGCTTATAGTATTAAAATCCCAATGATCAAAGACAGCTGGGTCTATTTTCAAACTTAAAAAACCAACGACTTTCATCATTGATGAACCGGGGATCTCATGATAGGCGAGCACTATCACTACTAGGCCCTATCGAGTGGTGATAGTGTTTGTTTCGTTTAACGCAAGTACACTGAACCGAATCTGTAAAACTAGAATCATCTCTATCGTCCGAAGAAGCCATACCACTATAATGTATTTGAATTACGTTCAACTATTTTTCTCCGTTTAATATCACAAACGATCTTTGCAAACTTTATCCAAAGAATTGCAATAAGACCCGAGGAAACTAGGGTGGTCCGGGGGTGAAAAAGTTTCATTCAAGTTCCCCGGAGGTGGCGTAGGCGGTGTGACGCTCGATAGAAATATAAATGCCTCTAGCGGTCCTTTATCGAAAGGGGGCAGAACTTCCTCAGGTTGATTAATAAACTTTTTTGGAAAGTTGACACGATATTAATTTTTTATTATTTTTTGTGCTTATTTATGTGGGAAATCTATATATCTATACTTATTTAATACACAAGCAAGTTTTTTGTGACAATTACTCCTCCGAAACTACTGAGCCGATTGACATGTTTTTGGTGTCATTGGAAAGAGCGTAACGTGAAGTTGTGCAGGAAACTTTCTTTTTAGGGAAATAATTAGAGAGTGAGGCCCTGGGGCCCTTTAATTTTTCGTATTTATCCATAAGATTAACATGGGAAACAAACATTGTAATGAAACTCCAGCTGTTGTCAGAAATTAAAGGTGAGAAGAATAGCATATGTTAATTTAAAAACAGTCAATGTGTAAATGATCTAGAAGCATTGACTATTCATACAACAGTATCCAATAGTCAATGCTAGAAGATAAACATGAACAACCTAATGCGGCTGTGGGAAACATTTTTGGAAAACACTAAAAGCTAGATCAGCTTTTGAAATATGATAAGATATTTACAATAAATGTTGATTACATTAACCTGTTATGAACATCGTACTTCCATTCCATTTCATTAGTTAAATAATCATTGAGTAGTTTGAGGTGGCTCTTTTAAACTCATCGAAAACTATGACCGTCATTAGTTTTCAAGCAGCTCCTGTAATACTTTGCAATTGCTCGATATCGAGCAACATGTTTACAAGTAATTATTTAAGACTCTTCAACCTTTGTAAAATTACAACATACAGAGAAACCCGTGAATGGTAATGTTTTGTATTCCATAGTAAGCAATTGTACGATTTCGTTTGTATTGTATGTATATAATTGTACATATTTATTTTTCACAATACCTTATTGAGATTTCAAAAAGAAAACACGTTTGCGATCGCAGTCACTAAACACCTCAGCAGGGGGGCCACCAGTTGACCGACAAGATACTTGGTCGTTTTGCCACTAGACCGTCTTTTTTAATTAAATAGATAAATACTGAAAACCAGTACGTCGACAAGTTATTTCATCGTCAGTCCAGTTGACCGGCCTGTAAAACGAAATTATTATATACGAGAAACCAACTTGTCGTCAATCGACCCGGCCGACATACCACTTGCTCGTCTTTTAGG